CGATTGTTGTTTAACCATTGTTAAATAGCAATATTCCAGCTATATGGCGGGTTCACCATCAAGATTGGTCGATTGTTGTTTAACCATTGTTAAAGAACAATATTCCAGCTATATGGCGGGTTCACCATCAAGATTGGTCGATTGTTGTTTAACCATTGTTAAATAGCAATATTCCAGCAATATGGCGGGTTCACCATCAAGATTGGTCGATTGTTGTTTAACCATTGTTAACGAACAATATTCCAGCTATATGGCGGGTTCACCATCAAGATTGGTCGATTGTTGTTTAACCATTGTTAAATAACAATATTCCAGCTATATGGCGGGTTCACCAACAAGATTGATCGATTGTTGTTTAAACATTGTTAAATAACAACATTCCAGCTATATGGCGGGTTCACCATCAAGATTGGTCGATTGTTGTTTAACCATTGTTAAAGAACAATATTCCAGCTATATGGCGGGTTCACCATCAAGATCAATACTTAGATAAAGTGAAATTGGGGAGGAAGTGTTGTTTTATCTCTGATGTGTGTCTGACTCGGTGACCAGATAAAGTTCTCACAAAATCTGCCCTGCTCACATTTGCTGTTCAGTCTCTACTGTGTTTTTGTTTTGTCCATTCAGGAAATATTTTCATCCTGCTCTGCGTCAAATGTCAGACCTTTAGGTGTGTTCCAATGAAGTGTAGGAGTATTTCGTTTTTACTGTTGTATGGATTTGCTTTGGTGTTTGTGGATTTTGTCGATATTCTGAATCCCAGATCCCAAGTGAAATTCTATTGCTCATTGCAACATCCTTGGGAACATGGGTATCATAGAGTACGTTCTCAAAGAGCGGCGTTCAGTCATAACGTACCTGACACTGACATAGATGATATATTTATTTTGATATACTTGATCAAGAGAACCACACTGAGCCAGCGCTTCGTGTTAAAGCAGTAGCCGAAAAATATATACATAGTCTACATTGTCATGCAGGTTTCACTGTATTGCGGCACTTGACCAGCATGTGTCATGGGGTAACGTTTCGCCACACGAATTGGCAGTGGTCCTCCTCTGTCTGCCAGGTCTTGGACAATCCTTTGCTTCACCCGTGGCTACGTGCTTCGTCGACTAATAATATTGGTTAAGGTTGAAGTTAGCACCGATGTTGCGATGACATCGTATCGTGATGCATGCCAATAGCTTGCCATCGTGAATGTTCAAGGTATGCCTTGACTTAAAAATCAGCCACGAGAGCGTACCAATAGCCGGCTTAATGCTGGACAGTACGTTGCAGTGGAAACCCATGCGAAAATGTTCATCACTACTTCTTAGAATGTTCTTATACAATCAACAAAGAAAGATCATGCTTAAAGCTATTCAAGATGTATGTGGTAGTAATTCTGTGATTACATTATCTGTTATTTTAAACGGCATTGCAGATCTGACAAATCATAAAAATGAAATTATATTCAAAAATGTACATCAATATATATGCAAATCTAAACGATTCCAGTAGTCTTCTCTCTATACACCATTGTATTATAGCATTTCCCCCTGTTATCTTTCAGTCTTTCTCTGTCTCTATTTCTAATAATTGCTTGTGATGTAATTAGTTATTGTAAATGTCTTCGGAGAGGGGTTTAATAAGCTGAAAGAACTTGTCCCCGATCCTTTTCACATTGTGAATAAAATATGTTTAAACTAAACGTTGCAGTGCTCAGCTTCACGAGCAATGGGCTGTTGTACAACAGGGCACAGTCTGAGGACCCGCGAGCAACAGACGCGCACAAAAAGCATAGGACACATCAAGATGACGTGCAAGTCACGTCCCGCACATTTGATTTTTAATGGGGAAGCGTAATGGTTTGGTCAACATTTTGTGTCAGTGGTCGATCTCAAATGATTGTCGTTCAAGATAATCATACTGCCATATAGTTCCGTACTACTTTTTGACTCCTGTCCCATTAATGCAGCTACATGTTCCTGGACAGACAATGTAACATGACAACGCTACGCCCGTGCTACAGATTTGACGTAAAGCCATTGATTGGATGGAATGAATTGGTTGTTCTTTTACGTCGCCCTCAGCAATGTCTGTAAATAATCGAGTCCGGACCAGACAATTCAGTGATTAGATGCATGAACATCGATCTACGCAATTGGGATACGATGACATGTGTCAACCAGGTCAGCGAGCCTGACTACCCGATCCCTTTAGTCGCCTCTGACGACACGCATGTTTAACTGAAGACCAATGCTAACCCGGATCTTCACGGGTCTTGTGTCATGAAATGGATTTCCAGTTCGGCATCTGGGAAGACGAATGCAGCAGGAACAGCAGCATCAACCCAGGACCCCAGAGAACCGGGGCAAGCACTCGCTGATCAATGGCGACGACTTCCGGTTAGAGAGTTACCAACAGTTTCTTCTGTCCATGCGGAGACGTTGTTTTGTTGTCCCGGTCGTCCTGATAGGTCCCACTCGTAATGACTTCTTTTGTTCAAACAGTTTATCAGAATTTCGAGTTGGGGGTCATGGAACTTGCTGCAATATATATGGTGTCGCAATCCACTGTCCATCGTTTTGGTACCTGGGTGATTTTCGGATGAAACTTAAGAATTGTCAGGTTTTCGATTTGATTTTGAACATAAAGAATTTGTAACTCACATTTGGGAGGATATCGGAAAATCCTCATCCTATATACAAATCACTAGTCCGTTCTAAAATTAATTACTGCTTCATGTTTTATGTTGTGGCTTGTAAAAAACTAGATTCTATTCATCACCAATATTTTTTAGTCTTTGCCTTCGAACCGTCAGAACATCACCGATTCATGTGTGAACTTTGATGAGCCCTGCCTAAAATAACGTCGCATAAAATTGGTATAATCTTACACAATGCTTACAAGTCTATTTGAGGACAGATCCAGGGATGGTGATGGTGTTGCCAGAGCCACGTCATTTGGGTCCAGGCCTGTATCGAAAGGATAATTGTTCCATTTTCTGTTAAAGACTTTTAATATATTGTACAGTTACTTTAGGTGACTGAATGTTTTCATTTCAGGAACATTGTTTGCCATGAATTTCATGACGAAGTACTTGCAAATATTTAGTCAGTGTCAGTTCTGCCTTAATTTAGTTCCAGAAACTTATCATGGGTCCAGACAAATACAACCCTTCAAGGTTTCAACTTCAATGGTGTGTTATCAAGAGGGTAAATCACTATGACATGTGGTCAGTAATTGATGGACTTCGGCTGTTCATTATGATTGTCTATATGACGTTTAAGAGTTTTGAGAGGGTGTGAGGGATGCGTTTATATTGTTTTAATATCCGATTTCATCCATTGAATATCACGAAGACGATGCCAACTGGAAGTATTTCCCCGACTTCCAGCACCATGGATACTCAGATGCTATATTCCAGCAGAAGAACCTAAAGATATTTTTACGGAAGGAGTGAATGAGTTTTACGCCGCACTCTGCAAAATCCAAGCTATATGGCGGCGGTCTGTAAATAATCAAGTATGAATCAGGCAATCCAGTGACCAACAGCATGAGCATCGATCTACGCAACTGAGATACGATGACGTGTGTCAACCAAGTCAGCGAGCCTGACCACCCGATCCCGTAAGTCGCCAATTACGACAAGCATGGTTACTGAAGTGAGTGAGTGAGTGAGTGAGTTTAGTTTTACGCCGCACTCAGCAATATTCCAGCTATATGGCGGCGGTCTGTAAATAATCGAGTCTGGACCAGACAATCCAGTGATCAACACCATGAGCAGTGATCTGCGCAATTGGGAACCGATGACATGTGTCAACCAAGTCAGTGAAACTGACCACCCGATCCCGTTAGTCGCCTCTTACGACAAGATAGTCGCCTTTTTATGGCAAGCACATGGGTTGCTGAAGACCTATTCTACCCCGGATCTTCACGGGTCTGGTTACTGAAGACCAATTCTAACCCGGATCTTCACAGGTTTTCCAGAGGAAGGACTCCGGACCAATTATAGAATTTTAATCTATATATTAGAAATTCAGGTATAAAAATGTCATTTTTTGCAAAAACATTTGGCACAATATTTTCATCACTTAAACATTAGAAATTCAAATAAAGTATCATTTTGGACAAAACATTTAACACAAGATTTCAGTCTTTAAAAACACTAGAAATTTAAGTAAAATATCATTTTGGCCAAAACATTCGAGACAAGATTTCAATCGTTTAAACCAGTTTGTGAAACACAGTTTTAATGCACAGAGCTTTGCGTGACCAGTAAGTGTATATCACCAAACTGTCCTACCAACCATCGAGGTGCAGTTGGGTCAAAGTGGCGTATTGGGCAAGAGAAAGGTGTTCCTTGAACAAGTGCCGTCCACTACCAGACTCCTCTACCAACACAATCCCACGCGATCAGTTTGGCAAATTTAGTTGCCGTTTATGACAAGCAGTGATATTTAACCTCTCTTGGGAAATATTTCAGCCATATCGTGACAAGAGTTTGAAAATAAATACTAAGTATATTAGGATTCAGAAACCTATCATCTATGGACTTAAAACTAGTTGACTAGAATAAATTAATAACAAAGCTTTGTAAAACTGGACTATAGATCGCCAGCAACTGGAGATAGATCACCATACAAGGGACCACAGGGGCTTACAGTACTATAAGCAGCTAGAGACAAATTCTACCCGGATTGAGTGAGTATAGTTTTACGCCGCTTTTAGAAAATATTCCAGCAATATCACGGCGGGGACACCAGAAATAGCCTTCACACATTGTGCCCATATGGGGTATTCCACCCATATTGATTTTGACTCTGTACTTACAATGTTTATTAATGCAGACTTGTTCTCGTTACTATATGGCTGGAATAATGCCGATGTGACGTAAAGCCCAACTCAACTCAACCCACCCGGAGCTCCTCAGGGGTATGTGTCTGAAGTCTGAACAAATACAAAGTTGTTATGGTAAGTCACAATGGATACTTTTAGAAGAAAAATGAACTCACCAACTTTTATCCATACTGAAAATAGTTGAATTAAAACGAAAACACGTAATTCCGCCATCTTGAAAGTATAAACCCCACCGCTGATGTGCGAGTGTTTCCATCACCCGATCTGTACCAGCATTCAAGATTCATCATTGATTGGTTCTTGCATCGGTTGCGTTGTGATCCGCCTTTCACGCTGGATCAATACCAATTACCAGGTAAATAAGTAAGATCGGTAAAAGGATGTAACAAAGGCCAAAGTCAATCTCATTAACAATACATCTGGCTTCTAGTTACTGCTAAACAAGCATTCGTTGTTAACGTAAGACAGAACTTTTTGTCTGACTGATCAGAGGATAAAGTGACAGGCGGAATCAATTTCCTCACACAACCTTAAAAGATTAACTAAGTTCGTTCCGACAGACTGTTACGGGCTACACGACTTATTGTATCAAATTCGTCGTATATTTACCGTTTTCGTTGTGAAATATCTGTCTCACGGAATGAATTGTCATACGATACCTGTCATTTATTACATATTAAAACATCGGTAGCGATTTAATCGATATTGTTCAATCAGGAATGGAAGTAGCCAGATTGCCTTAACGCTTGTTTGTTGTTTAACACCACATTCAGCAATATTCCAGGTATGTGGCGGCGGCCAGTAAATGAACAAGACAGTCGAGTGTGAACAAGACAATTCAGTAAGCATCGATCTCGTTCACAAATGGGATACCATGACATGTGTAAACTAAATCAGCGAGACTGACCTCCCGATTCCGTTAGTCACCTCTTATGACAAGCATGGCTTGCTGAAAAACAACTTGCCTTAAAGCTCGAGAGAGATTATCAGTGGAAGGGTAATGGCTTTTTCAACACTATTGACCATAGTACAGTAGTACTATCCTGAAGCGTAAGTAAAATGTCTGTTATCCCCTGTGTTCACTTCAACCAAGAGGAAAATGCACGATTCTACGATTCTAATACACAACTAAACAGACCAGCAAGCAAACTTTCTTAACCCATTTGGCAGAACGACAGGTTGATAATACAATTCCCCACATGTGTGTATTGTGTGAAGCCGATTTTATTGTGTCCCCCGTCGTGATATTAATGGAATATTCATAAAAGCGGCGTGGAACCCGTTCACTCAGAATTGAGATCCCAATTAGCAGGGCTCGAATTGATTTATAGATATATTCAAATACTTCCGGCTACATATCAGTTCATACTTCCGGGTCAATAAATAATTAACGATACCTGCATCTAATCGCAAGATATCAGGAACTGAATTTCTGATATTAAATATGATGCAGTTGTTGATAATTTTATATAATATCTTGATAACAATAGTCCTGAATAAGATATCGGTATTTGTTTTCAGGATAAAATGAATATTCCCCATCATATCCTCAATTCATTTTGTGACATCATGAATTTTATTACAGACATATATAATTATCTCTAATCGTGATATCATTTCAAAATCGCTTTACTTCAATTTAAGATATCTTCAATTCAGTTCACGACATCTCCAAGATAATTCACGATCTTTAAAACACTTGAAGAACTGTTCATTTTAAGTAACACATTTAAACTTTGTACTTTGGGCCTTTCCATACCGGGTCACTATATGGCTATATAATGCTAGTGACAAATTTAATCCAATCACTCACTGAAACAATTAACTATAACAATTTCTTTAAAGGTATGAAAACGGCTTTCCACAGTTGATTCTTTGACACAAGATTGTGAAGCTGCCTTAGACCGTTCGTTCTAAATTTATATATTTTCATTATCCAAAGTCACACGGGTCTACAGTTCTTATAATGCAATACTTGTATTTTCACTTGGAATGTGTCAGCTGCAATGTATTATCGTATGAGCGCTATTGGCTTGATTTAAACTGGCAGAACCCAATGAGAAGAAGCCAATATGTTTGAAGCGTCTCAGTGTTTTAACTATGTTCTTCCGATACAACAACTGGCCCACTTATCGGCCCTCGGCGTGACGAATATCCCATTACAAGGGATAACTAAATTATTCAAACAAAAAAAAACAGAAAGAAACGGAGAGACCAGGAATAAGGAAAAGTATTAAAAGTATTTAAGTGCGCATTCGTCGATTTAGCTTCAACATATATTGAGAGCCATTAAAAATGCAATTTGACATTCACACTTTATTTACTCCCATTAATTTCAACATATATATACCTAACTGGCAGATATGTTTTCACAATGTGTGAACATCTGTGAATAATTTCATCTGAAAATGTCCAGTTAACAACAACATCAACACCCTGTTTTGCACCACTGAACACGTGGTTGTCGGTGTAGTTGTGTCAGGATAGGTCCAACTTTTGGTCGATATGCTCGAATTCCCACTTCCCTCAGACGCACTCTGATGGTTTGGTCGGAAATTCTTAGAGGACTAGGCACCTGTTCGGCAGTGTCCGTTGTTGTAGCAAATCTGATGAATCGGTACGAGGAGGAGTGGTCACTCTTGGTCTTCCTCTTCTGTGACCATCTCGGGTTGAATTGAAGCGGGTTTATAAAGCGATGGCATAATCGAGATACAGTGCTATGGTGGACGTTGAGGTGTATTGCACAAGCACGCTGGGAATCCCCTGCTTCCAAACGTCCATCGGCGATATTGCGGTCAGTAGAATCAATCTTGGCATTTTACGTCGTAAGTTTCGTAAGGAAATGATAAAAGTGGCAATAGTATGTGTTATTTGAATTCAGGATTACATCTGTAAAAGTCGATAACATCTGAAGGGATGATGTAAATCCAGCTAGGGTCCATGAAGGAAGCAACACAGGTGTAAGTCACCAAACAAATATTTTAATTATGAGATAGACCAGTGTTCTTTTATGAGTGCTTCAGTTTCATATGATAAATTTATATTTTACGTTTCTGCTAGAAGATCATCTTAAAATGATTATTCACGACAAAGAACATCATAGCATCGATCTTCGCTATTGGGATACGATGACATGTGTCAACCAAGTCACGAGTCTGACCATCCGATACCGTTAGTCACCTCTTATGACAAGCATGGGTTGCTGAAGATCAATTCTAACGAGGATCTTCACACGTCAAAAAGAACATGCAGTGAACAACACTTAGATAATAAATGGTAATGTTGTAACACACACACACATACACACACCTTAAGACCAACTCATTCAAAATTCTCATCTACCTGTATTTTAACTCCAGAATATGTGTTTAATTTTATTCTCTGTCCACACTTACATCAATCACCAGTAGTTATTGTAAACATTTTGTGATGTATTGCTGATGTATTTTCTGTCATTTGATGTCACTTTTTTAACGTATAGAAACAGTACATCTTGTTCCAGTCACAATATGGCAGAAATATTGCTGACGTGACTTAAATCTTAACTCACTCACTCCTTCCTCTTTGATAAAAGTGGACATCACAAGGGTTGATAGTTTTTAATTATGGTAGAGAATGATCACTCAAACGTAGGTCACCATGGACCATCCATTCAATTTCATTATACAAGCTGGAATAGGTGAGTGCAAGATCTAGTGCAGAAAAGGTTCCAATGGCGGAGTGCAAATAGGTGGTTAAATCATCATTAAATATACATAGGTTATGAAGACACGCCGGAAGAGCTGCCAGCCACGCTCAGCGATGCTCAGCGACAGTCAAAGAGGCTCAGCGACACTCAGCGATCCTGTCACATTGAACATACCAATCTACAAAAGGCATGTATTGGAAATGGCCAGCAGAAGTTATTGAAGGAAACTATCGATCGAACTCACTTGCAATTCAAAGCAAGGAATATCAATCTTCTCAATTGAAAGCGTAGAATGATATACATGCGAACAGGATGATGTTTTGCTGCCTGCGTTTATCACTTTAATTACTCGTTCGTCAGGTGAACAAAAGCTAGGAGGGTATGCGTATGTTAATGTGAGAACAACGAAAGTAATATAACAAAGGTGTACTCTTAACAAGCTATTTGCGCAGTGTAATAGCAATGGATAAAGGGAGGCCATTAGTAGAATAAAACTGCCAGGAAATGGTTCCTACCTAGTATAATGGTGTTACTCTGGTTGATGTTGATCTATAATCCATTTTAGACAGTTTTGTTCTGAGTGTCGATATTTAAATGCTGGTATTAAATATGGCTGAACAAGATTGTTGTCAAAGCGCTCGATGGTCCGGTTTGCAACAGCTCTGGAGAATGTTGTTTTTGCAGTATTACATTATATATGGTACTTAGCATGTAAATGGGTTTTTTTATCAGAGGGCAATTCTGCTCCTACATCTGGATAAGTGTATTTAACAATCACATTGTATTAGACACAGTACCATGGAAAAAGTCACTGACATTCTCAGTGATGTGAGAATCAAACTTGCCAACGCGCACCGTGGACGGCGGGGTAGCCTAGTTGTTAAAGCGTTCGCTCGTCACGCCGAAGACCCAGGTTCGATTCCCTACATAGGTACAATGTGTGAAGTCTATTTCTGGTGTCCCTCGCCATGATGTTGCTTGAAAATTGCTAAAAGTGGCGAAAACTGAAACTCACTCACTCACTGACGTGTACCGACCGCACCGACCCAGAGCCTGGAGAGTGGTCTTACACAAGGCGAATCAAAGAGAGATATAAGGAAGACAGTTTTTATGGATATCAACTTTTTATTATGAGGAACACAACGTTTCGGAGTATATCCTTACTCCTTCATCAGGAATGAATCAGTTACTTGATAAAAGAGTAAGGATATACTCCGAAACGTTGTGTTCTCATCATAAAGAAGTTGATATCCATAAAAAACCTCTTCCTTATGTGCATCACTTCTAAATGTCATTCAAAGGCCCAAAGTGAGATATATCACCACGTAGCAAAAAAGACATTTCTCTGGAGAAGTGGCTGATTTAAATTGTAAAAAAACTTCACACAGTAAAACGTGTGTTTGCAGCTATAGAGTATGATGGCCCTAATCAGCCAAAGTCAATTGTGATTACAAGCTAAACACCTTAGAAACAAAACTTCGCAATGCAACGGAGAGGTGAAATGAAAAGTAAAGTGAATAATATGTAGAGGATATT